AGACATTTCAAAGGTGTTAAGAACTTAAATTTAGGGCAATCAGTCAAAGAATTACTAAGAAATCTTTTTTTTTTCATTCAGGAAATTGGCCGAAAATCGTTGTCCGTTTTTCGGTCCTTTGCGGTAAGTGCCGAAATTTTTTCTAAGTTTAAAAAAAAATCACATTTGTTATAAAAATATAATTTACCGGCATATTTCTTCCATTTCAGCAATTCTTTGAAGTTTCTACACCTCAAAATCATAAAACGGCGAAATTGTGTCCCCGGCGAATATGTGCGCCCCACTCTATCAACACGTACATTTCATAAAAAGTCATCCTTCATTTGCATTCAGAAATCTTCATGTTAGTGTACCGATATGGATTTCATACAGTAAATATTTAGTGATGTAAACAATCTTTATGTGAGCTCATACATGTTGGACTTAGACGTACGTACACATAGTGTGTAAAGCAGGAATATGTGTTTTTTGACAGAAAATATGATTTTTATCCTTAATGTTTCATTTACTACATTGTATGTGTCTTGATGGAAATATTAGCTATCTTGGTGTAATCAGGAAAGTACAGAATTTTACACCGGTGTTGAAAATATATACACCCTGAAGCGCAGCCGAAGATCGTATACATTACCAACACCGATGTAAAATTCCATACACCCCTGACTGTACCGAGATAACGAATTTATTTCTTATTTAGCGTTCGTTTACTTATTTTATTCCCGGGAATAAAATTGGAAAAAAAAATCTTATGACCAACTTCAAGTACACATTTTCAACACCGACTTTGCTGTATATTTTTAAAATATTATCTATTTAATTTTTTTTATATTTGTGGAAAATTTGAAAATTTTATGTTTTGGGGAATATTGGAGAATACTTTTTTTTCTTCACTCGGATTTTTTTTTTATCAGCATCCAAAATTGTAATTTTCATAATTTTGGCAAACATTTTTTTTGGAAAATTTTGGCATATTTGTTTTATCCCCTGGTAAACTAGGGTGGGGTGTTATTTACACCAGGGTAATTACCCAATCAGACTCCAAGATTCTTGCATTCTTGCATCATAAGAAATAATGTTTTATCGTTCTAGAAAATGAAATCAAGAACAATGTTCAATTGCGCCTACTGTGAAGAGGAGTCTGATCAAGCGAAAAAAAAATTGACAATGTATATTTGTGAGGTGAACGCATATTATATACACATTTTTTTTTTTTTTTTATAATATCAAAAGGATCGTATTGAAGCTTACAGATTATTTATTTCGTTGTTTATTGAATACATTGGACAAGTCCCCGAGTTTATCATCATCTCAGTAGTCAGTACTTCGGTATTGACATGATTTAAAACAAACCTTTCTAAAATTATTTACCTCCAATGGGGACAGTGGAATAGAAATATGGTCACTTAAGTCCTCTTCCGACCGACCCTTGTCAAAGTGGGACGTCCGTTTGGCTGTGTGTGATGTTAAAGTACGCAGCCACGTCAAGTCAGAATGGGGCGTGTAGAGAGAGTGATACGCTCATTGCACGTTGAGAACCCTTGCAACAGCTCTTTGAAGGGTCCGTAGGTGGCCTGTTGCAAGCCAAAATTTCTGTCCATATCCAATATACTCACGTTTTTAATGGCAGTCTAAATTTTAGTAGAATATTTGGGTTTATATTGAATTTTTCTGATTGTTTACTCCCCCTTCCTAAGTTTGCTTGCTCCTATTTTTTTCGTCAATTAATATCATTTCATATCAATCAAAAATTATTATTGACTGTAAAAACAAAGGTAGCATGCAATGAAATTTAAAAAAAATCTGAGTTTCTGTACTCGGTTCTTAATTAGATATAAGAAGATGTGGTATGATTGCCAATGAGACAACTCTCCATTCAAGTCACAATTAGTAAAAGTAAACCATTATAGGTCAAAGTACGGTCTTCAACACGGAGCCTTGGCTCACACCGAACAGTAAGCTATAAAGGGCCCCAAAAATTACTAGTGTAAAACCATTCAAACGGGAAAACCAACGGTCTAATCTATATAAAAAACGAGAAACGAGAAACACATATGAACCACATCAACAAACGACAACTACTGAACATCAGATTCCTGACTTAGGACAGGTGCAAACAAATGCAGCGGGTTTAAACGTTTTAATGGTACCAAACCTTCACCCTTTTTCTGAAACAATAGTGTAACATCACAACATAGAAAGACACACTATAAAATATCAACTGAAATTATAGCTTAACTCAATCAAAGGACAATCGGTTCTTAAGACCGTTTTAAAACGGACACATTGATTTCCTAAGTATATATCGTAATACTGCTAGGTTATGGTAAAATGTTCTCAGAACAGAAAGTTATCATTAAATTGAAAAGATTAAATTTTATCAACTTTGTAATATTTTTTTTTGTGAATTATTGGGAATATATAATATAGTCCCTCACTTAATTACAGTTATAAACTAGAAAAAGTCAGTTTTTAAGGTCAAGAATGCCATATATTTCATTCGCATTTTCTTTAAAAAAACCCAGACGTTTTAACTGTTGCTCTCGAAAAAACACGGACAATGCAAAACACTGAATTTTAGGTTAAATACAACGAAATTATGCGTCTTTTGTGTTTAAAACATGTTTAGTATTCAAAATAAGATGGACAGTCATGAATAAAACTATTATAATTGCGAAATAGCAGTTAATTGACATGATCGCATGTTTTATCACTCGGAAAAACCCGATCTACACTTGCAAAAAGTGGACCTATTAACTCGAAATACTTTCAAATAGTCGACTTTGGGCGTTCCTGATGAAGGTAAATCCAGAAAAGCGCTTTGGACGCATTAGAATTATATAAAGTGTTGTTTCCATTTTTTTATATCATACTATGCATGGTTTTTTGTCTTGTTTCTCTCTCTCTCTCTCTCTCTCTCTCTCTCTCTCTCTCTCTCTCTCTCTCTCTCACTTGCTTGATTATGCTTATTTATCTTGCTTGCTTACTTGTGTGCCACTATAGATGTTATATGTGAATGCCTGTCTGTCCATGAAGAAGAAGAAAAAATAAACTATAAAACAATAACTAAATTGGGCCATTTCTTTGAGATGCCCTCGGGCAAAAGTTGCATTATATATTGTTTAAATTGATATGAAGTCCCGACAAATGAAAATAGATATCTTCACTACAGTAGATGATTTCAAATGTGTAACTGAGCAGTGTTGAGTGAAGGGTAACACATATAATTTCGGTATTTGTTAATTTTTCCCTCCCGCAGTGATTAAAGGATTGAATCTCATAATTTAGAAAAGAAAAAAAAATCTGATACAAAAGATGCCTACAATTTATATATACATGAGGGTCTGGATTGGGTGGGTGGTGTGTGTGTGTGTGTGGGGGTGGGTCCTTCATTTCTGTATTCTTTAATGTTTTAAGCAATTTTTCTCTATTCTTTATATTTTTTGGGCCATTTTTCTCTATTCTTTTTTTTTCTGCCCAGTATTCTCTATTCTGTAGTAAACCCCCATCTACACCCTCATATATCGATGTGCTACTAGACTTTAGAACTTCCCCATTTGGACATTTTGTCTGTTATTTTCTATGGGTAAAAACAACCACTGTTGTCCAATTGTTATGATGAACCTTAAAAGTTCAGTAGCAAATATTTCATGCGGAATAAGGACTAGAATACATCAGTAAATTAGTATTGACCGAAATCCAACGGTTTGATAAATTTGAGTGCATCCTTAATATGGAACATGAAAAGGGAATGAAGGATGTCGTACAAAAATAAAGCTGAACAAAGGCCAACATCTTAAGATAGGCTATGAAAGCCACGTCAGACGAATTTGTGTTACAATTGATCGAAACAATGTAATTTTGATTATACCTTGACATTGTAAATAGTGATACTTTGTTTTTTCCACTTAATCCTATTTGAACCCTCTGATTCTGAAGGGGCGTGTCAAATTAGTCATGCTCTATTAACTTTGAGTAAAAAGAACCAGGTCGAAAATTTCAGTTCTGATATATGTCAGTCTTATAAATGGAAGAAGTGATTGGTTCGGGCTTAAACCTTAAAAGAATGTTAAAGATGTATATATAAAATTGTACAGTAAAATCCTTATTAGCCACAATATACGAATACTACATGTAAATTCTAGTGAATTAAATCTTTTTACAAACTGTAGTTTGCATTATTATCAGAGTAAATAATTACCTTGTACATGTTATGCCTTGAGGGACATTTCATTAAAAATTGGTATCTTCCGGGTTCAGTCCTACATCTAAACCCGTTTAGAGTGAAATTTCTTATCTTTTTTCAGTTTTAAAATGGCCAGGAATAGCTGTAAATCTGTCATGGCATGCTGATTAAGCATACATACTATGTTGAAACCAAAAACTGAGTGCTTAAACGCTTTAGAGGTTTTTTTGTCCGTTTCTAAATATAAATAAGAAGATGTGGTACGAGTGCCAACGAGACAACTCTCCATCCAAGTCACGATGTATAAAAAGAAAACAATTATAGGTCAAAGTACGGCCTTCAACACGGAGCTTTGGCTCACACCGATCAGCAAGCTATGAAGGGCCCCAAAATGACTAGTGTAAAACAATTCAAACATGAAAACCAACGGTCTAATCTATATAGAAAACGAGAAAGGAGAAAAACTTATGAACCACACCAACAAACGACAACCACTGAACAACAGGCTCCTGACTTAAGACAGATGCATACAAATGCAGCGGGTTTAAACGTTTTAACAGGCGTCAACCTTCACCATAACCTGAAACAGTAGTGTAACATTACAACACAAAAATACACACTATAAAATATCAATTGAAATGGCTTAACTCGATCAATAAGACATACAAACAAAAACAAGTAAACATACACTGAACGAATAAGTTTGATTTATGACACAATATAGATACAATATTAATAAAAAAAGATGTAGGAACAATGTCAAAATGACAACTTTAACCTGGGACAAAATGGCGTTAAATAAAATAACGTACACAGGTAAATTTAAATATAATAATTTTGTTGTTAGGAGTACGAAAACATTTTTTACAAAATAAATAAATTTGTTGTTCACAGTACGAGTACAGAAGTGAAAATTTATCTTCATACTAAATACTTTTCAAAGGTGGTACTTATTAAAAATAGTGAGACGAGATATAACACAAAATAAGTAAACATTGAGTAACAGAAATGCATTACAAATTGTGTCAACAGGTCAAATTACAAGAAAGTACGATTTGAGAGTACTCGCAGTTACTGAAAGCTAGTTAAAAGCCAAAAACAATTAATAATAAAAAATCATGCATCAGAGACTAAAATCAATTAAAACACATCCCAGGGATTTAGTGTTTTAACGCCATGGACAGTCAAAGAAGACTTGTGCAATGCCAAAATAAAAGTATCGACAGGCAGTAGGATAGTTAGGATTTAACCTTATAATAAATATGTATCATGTAATTTATAGATAAAGCAATCTCTAATAGAAAATAAACGTGGATGTGTGTTTATACATCCCAAAAACCATTCGAAAAGAATACAAATTTAGTTATGTTTTAATTTGTTGATGACAAAATCGATGTTAGTGCCAATGTAAACAATATTTAAAGATCTTATTACACCATTAATACGATAACCTTTACTAATAAGTTTGTTTAAAGGTTCGATGAGTTTACACGGATCACGTAGTGACTTCCGCGCTTTTAGTACAATTATATTACCGAAAAATTTAGGATGTGAAATACCGTTTATAATAATTTTTCTACAGGTACAGCCAAATTTACTTATCAAATCTTTGTATCTATGAAAGAATTTAGTAAATGTTTTAAATAATTTATGGTAACGAAATCCCTGACTTAATAATTTACCAGTGATGCATGGATTACGTTCATTAATATCTATGACATAACTACACACACAGGCATAGCGAACGAGTTGGGATATATAAAGACCACTTAAAGACAGAAGAACATCTAAATGACAAATTACATATCTAGTAATAAAAAATAAGTATTTAAAAGAATGATGAAATTGAAAAGGAACTTCAGTTTTACATATTATACAAATTTTATATACATTTGATATCCAAATATAAACCACTTTTAATATCCTATTCTAAGACTTACATAAGAACATAAAATTGATAGGTTCCAGTTTCACTATTTTTTTTTTAATTGACTAAATATAATGCAACATTTTCTTGATGTGTCGACTCCACTGAAAAAAAGAAATTGTATGCCCTCTTCTTCATATTATATTACATATAAAAAAAAAAAATACAAAAAGTCAAAAACAACATTACACAAAAATCATTGACAATCATTGACCAACACGAATCCCACTAAAAATGGCGTTTATTAACTATTTTCGATTATCGCATATACATGTCTTTTATGATTATAAACCCTTAATAGGTCATTTCAGAATCTAATGCATTCTAGGAAATATTTTCAAAAGCGTACACCAGATCGTTACGATGGGCTAACCATATCCTAAACAATGGAAATTCAACCAATGACGTGACGTTGTTTTCATTTTGGGGTACGAACAATCAAATTACCCAGAATGCATTAGATTCTGAAACTTCGAATTGCTTCCTTCAAAACTTGGATTGTCTGCAGAAATATAGTTTCTTATAGAGTATTTTGATATAATAAGAATACATGTAATTAAAGGTGTTTTATAATATTTTTTGATAAAATTAGAAAATAAATATGTTATAAAGAGCAGATAAACAAATTAAACATGTAATTAAATGAAATAAATGGTTGATATTCAAATAAAATAATGGAGTTATTAAATGTTAATACAATAGTTGCCTCAAGCAAAACCTGATAACTATTGATTAACTTTTGACCTCGTCTTCGTGTATTTCAAATGTATGAACCCCTTATCTTACGGATATTTAAAAAAAACCTCCAAAGTACCTTTACAATTACCACAGAAAACGATAATGACAGAGCGGCAGTATGGTAACTTAATTGAAAATTGTAATTATTTAAAATAACAAACCACTTATATTAAAACAAAGTATTGCTTCTCAGTTGTTTTCAACATATTTTGAAATTGATTGTACAGCTTTTCTTTTTTAAATAAAATACATACATTTATATTAATTGAGATTTTCGACCAATCCTTCCTGTTTTAAACAGATTTACGTTCTCTAAATTAAATTATATATACATAAATACAAAATGATAATTCATTTTTTTTTGCGTTTTTCAAAAACGTTTTGAGATTATAGTTTGCACTTCACAGTGATTTTAACTTCGACATTTCACAAAAATGAACTAGTAAATGAACTAATAAACTCCAGTAAGCAGTTGATTGACAATATAATCCAGTTCTAGAAGTCGGTCTATGTCAGGCTCATGTATACTATAGTACCAATGACGCATACAATCGTCAACAGAAGATTTGGTGACGTCACTGTTACTCCATTACCTAAACAAAACAAAAAAAACCAAACAAGTCCAATATTTAAAATGTAGTTAAGTTGTCATGCATGTAAATATTCATTTTGGAAGTACTAGTATGGTTTACCATGCAGGAAAGAAGTGTTATTTCAATGTCAGATTTTTTACGGAAATAGTATGTACACAACTACATTCTTTGATTCTTTCTTCCCGGTTTAACCGATTTATTGATAAAAGACCTAATAATTAAACTGGTGTTTTTTAATCATTCTGTTATTATTAGAAATTAAAAGGCCTTGCTTGAAGGAATTTAGCTATCAGTTCTATTACTGCCGTATAATTAAAAAAAATATTAGGTATTATTAAGTTAAATCAGATGATTATTTCCCTTGGAAATTATGAGAATGTAAGAAGGTACATGTACATCAAAGAAAGCTTTGATTGTTTCGGGTTTTGTAAAAAAAAAACCAAACCGACATTTGACAAAAAACTTTAAAATTTACAAAAAAAAAAAAAAAATTAATAAAACTACAGCTAAGAAACATTGTTTTATTTAATGCTATTTTGCCCCTGTCCTTTTTCTTCAGCGAGAACATAATAACAAAACTATTCAAACCTGTAAACTGTTTCCCGTTGAAAACAAAATTTCGTTCAGAAGTGAATGGTTATTCCCCATATGGTTCAAGTATACTTGACTCTGCTTTTTGGCCTTGACACAATCATACAATCACATGTACTACTGCCACATTAAAACCAAGCTTATTTTTTTATGAATAGCATTGTGTAATAAAACTGGTCAAAAGTAGGAAATCTTACATTTTCCGTTTTCATCAGCGCCATTTTTACACTGACATTTAAATACATCATTCACTTTCTTGCATTCAGCGTTATCAACACATTCATTTACATGTCCATTTTCCATACAGATAATATCGTGAAGCTTTCCTGAAACATATACAATATACAGTAGAACCACGTTCTACAATGCTAAAATACTAAATATATCAGGTGGTTATCCCTAAAAATCATTGTTGCAACGTGAGCTGCAAAACTAAACAAAATGAATGATATATTTAAGGTTATATATAATTCTTTTTTTATATTTAACTTTACAACAGACGTTCTCCATCATCTAAAAACAAAAATTCTTAAATTCTTACATTGAAGAACAAACATTTGCTGACGTAATTTTGTAGATCTAGAATTGTTGGACTAAATTTGAGACGAATATATATATATACGTCTAAATATTTGACAACTTTACGACAAACGTTCTCCATTGGATAACCTGTGGTTATACAGGACTAACCCCATAGTTATATATATTTCGTCTCAAAGTAAGCCCAACAATGTTAGCGTTAGCAAATGTTTGTTCTTCCCTCTAAGTAGGCTTCATTGATACGATCACTCCAATGTTTAGAGAATTATGTTTGACGAAGTACGGAAAACCCATTGATATATATACATGTATGTACAAGGCAATGCACTAAAAAAATAAGATATGTCATTTTTAAATAAGTAAATTTTAATCAACTTCTTTTCTTTTGTTTTCTAGAATTGATTCACCTTAATAGTAAACTGACGGTGTCTTTTTTTCTGTTCATAACAACCTCTTGAGAAATTTCAAACATAATGATGAAAGCTTATATCTAATTAGCATTTACCGTTTTCTTTGTTGGAAAATGTACCATAAATACAAAGCATAAATAACAAATGATGGTTTGATTCGATACACGAGAAGAATTGAAGCCCCTTTAACCTACCTACAATTGTATATCCCTGGGTTGAATGATCTCAAATTCATTTATTCCGCAGATTCAAAAGTTAAAAAAGTCATCTGAAAAATTGGAACTCGTCCTTTCTGTCGTATTTATCAGAAATAAATGGGCGCAAGACGTTTGCGCTTTTTTTTTTACCTGTAACACGAAGGGACATTTGCGCTTTAAAATTTGATACACCTGCACAAAATTGACAGGACATTAGCGTGTTTTACCGTTGATAATTTACCTGTTCACTTATTCTTTGAAAGTTCTTCCGAACAAACAACAAAATCAGAAAAAATATTCGGGTAAACCAGACATATAATAAAAAAATATAGTATATGTTTCTGGGTAAACGATAGAGAAAACGAAACTTTTATGGATAGACCATTTAAATTTTGCCCTGAATTCTCCAATTTGCTTTATAATTCGTGGATTTAAAATTCGAAACTATATTCTTCTTGTGTTTATTCTGTTGCATGAATAGTCCGAGGAATTGTACCGTCATAGTTTATCGAAGCTTGTTTCAATTTAGTTGACTTTTAGAAAGAGTCATGGTTGTTATAAGGAATTTACTTCCATCCATCCTCTTGAGGAAAGCTTGATTCTTTTAGCAGTATATAAATATGATTATGAATGTTTTGTGTTTTGTGTTTTTTTTATATTAAATGATTTTTTAAACTTTTTTACCATGATAACTCATATGTTATGGTGATAAGGCACAAATGTCCTATTGAAAAAGTGCAAATGTCCTAAATATTAAAGCGTCGGTAGTGTTAATTAAGGTAACAATCTATTGTCAAATAATCATTTAAAAAAATTAACGCCATTAGGGACGATGTTTCGTTCCGTTTTTGTTAATTTTCCTTTTTTTTGACGGCCATGTTTCTTCAGTCCCTTCAATCGGTAGGTCTATTCACAACTCGTTCGCTATGACCGTGTAAGTTTTATATGAACGGTATATATAAATAAATGTACGGTATACTTTTGTACCGTTACTTACCTATTCACGATAAATGTTTCTATCGTGAATAGGTAAGTAACGGTACAAAAGTATTATGATCGGATCTGGGATTGGACCGTGAATAATATTATATGCAATTCAACTTCAAAATCTTGGAAAAATTTCGATATATTATCAAAAAGCGAAATTGAAGAAAATGTGTCAGTCAAAATTGTTCGACATAATGATCAATATTTGAATATCATAGTTTAAGAGTTCACCGTTTTGAAAAAAAATATAAAAGACAAATTGAATTCAAGGAATTAATTGGCAAAGCAACGGACTGAACTTGCATGACTTATTCCGGTTTACCCTTGTGAAAAATGGCTTTGATGGTTCAATGCCATTGAATCGGTTGAATCGGAATCTTATATAGCGCAACGCCGACTAATCGGTGGAGCTCTATATTAATCAATGTATGTCCGTCCGTCCGTCAATTTTTTTTATAACGTATGAAAAGTCGATGATTTAAAAAGTATAAATGATTATACTCGGCTTATGAATATTGCGTTTATATAATGAGTCACAATTAAAAGGGGACAACAACTATTCGCTGAGGGAGCATTGAGCTTTAATTATTATCCAACAGGTGCACCAATGCAAGTGGACATGATACCCCATCAGAAATCAGAAATAATGTCCTGCATGTTATTGAATGAACAAAACATATCATTCAACAATATATATATATAAGTATTGCAGGAAAAGAGTAAACAAATAAACTAATTTAAAAAAGAACCGTACACGCGTCTGATACTTGTAATAGAGCCAGTTACAACCATAGTATTAGTTTTATACAATCACTAAGGGCAATAGCCATCTATTTGATTGTGTTCAAAGGTATGATGGTCTCTATCAAAGACATTATTTCTTACTACTTTTGGATTGTTGAATCAAAATCGTCGAATAATCAATAGATACGAATGCAATCACTTAGATTTTGACGATTTAAGTCTAGACAAGCGCTTCGGAAGGACAATTCATTTATATAGTGTTATTTCCTATAGTTCAAGAACAGTTGATCTAAAAATCGTTAAAATTGATGCATAGCTGATCTACATTATCACAATACTAACACAGGTTGAAATATTTGGTAAGAATTTGTTAAAGTATTTATCGTATAATTACTGTCTAAAGAAAATTTCTTGCGTCTGAGGCGCTTTAATTAATCTATCTTCAGTAGGAACATTCAAAATAAAAATTGATTAAATACTTAATGGCTGAAAACTTGAATATCCCAAGATATAATCTGATCGAAGGACGGACAGGAAGACTGAAAACAGTATTAATACCACAATATCTCCGTTTACCACGGACATATACAATAAAGTCACATATTTAGATGCAATGTTTTACTTATTATATTAATACGTACTTGCAAGACACGTGTTGATTGAAGGATAGCTATCACTGTTACACATGCACTTATTGGGTCCGGATCCGTGTTGTTTACATACAGCCATTGAAACAGCACACGGTTTGTCTTTTTCAATTGTGCATTCCAAATTTAGAGCTATTTCTGGTAGAGAAAGCATTAGTATTAGATCGCTACTTCATTTTTTGATATCGTTGAGTTTATATAATATTTGTACACCTGATATTATTCGTTACACCGTGTACTGTTGACCTTGTACGATATATATGGAGTTCGATTGAACCCCCTATTGAATTTACTGACTCCTTATATATCGTATTAGGTCACCAGGACACTGTGTAACAAATTTATCTTACCGACTATCTTAACATGTGGCATTTAGACTAGTGGCCTATCAAAGTGATCATGTCTTCAATATTAATAACATACTTCCATTGGTCTGTACAAAAACAAATGCCAACAATAACAACTTGTTAGCTTTAATGTGTTTTCTGCATTTATTGCCAGTCGTTCGTCATCAATTTCTGCATCTGTTGTTTGGGCAAAACGTTTCAGATTTTTCTTCAACGTCATGTTGTTTTTAAAGAGGAACGTTACACTGCTACTTTCCGTATATTAAAATAAAACACGCCCACTAACCCAATATTAAATATACAGGGTCTCCACGTGTTTGCTTTTAACCAATGATATTCCTAGAAATGTATAGGAGGTAAGATAAAAGATGTATATTGTGGTTTGCAATACTTAAAGGATTATCTATTATGAGAGTCACTACTAGTATTGTGCTACGGAAATTGTTTAAAATAGTAAAATCTTCAATCCTATATTTATTTTTTTTCTGTCGTTTGATTGCAGTCTTAAAGTGAAATAAAACATTTATGAATTTGATACATCAGAATCGCTTTAATGAATGTACCATCATCATTTTGATTCTTCCTTATTCATGAATTTATAAACGAAAATTAAAAAAAAGTATGTTTTAAAACATGTCAGTGGCGAAGCACTGACTACTGTGCGGTTGCTATCCTCAGTGATTTTATGTTCAACAGAAGCGGTGTATGCCAATTAATCACCTCTACATTTCACTATTTTGAGAAAATGAACATGTTTATCAAGCAGATAACAAGTATTACACTGGCATTTCCCTAAACCTCAGAAAAATAATCATAATGTTGTTTTTTTTCATTCTCGTTGATCGTTTGCACGAATTAGTTTACAGCTTGCAAACCAGTAATGAAAAATGAAAAAAAAAAGAAAAATAAACCCATCCAACCTGTCCCTCATTAACGGAAACACGTTACCCCCTTTAACTGTAATTCACACTGATGGTTACTGTGTGTTGTTAACAAGACACGCCCGTCGAAGAGCTGTCGTTTGTATATTTCCTGTTGGTCTATAACCTACAATTTGTAGGGTTAGGCTATATTTATAGCATAAATGAAAACCCTAGCCAGGATAGAGGTCCGCCTTTTTGAAATTTCGTATCTGCCACAATGGCAAAATCACCCACTTTGGCCTCAATATTCTCAATCTTTATCAATATTGCAACTGTTTTTCGTACTTGCGATGTTATCTATGATTATAAATTGTAGGATTTTGAATCTGAAATTGATCAAAAGCCTGCAAAATGTCGAAAATCGCAATCATTTGGATGGTGTCGAGCTATATCCTGTCAACGCTTCCACCATTTTGTACTAGACTGGAATCATATGATCAAAACAATCTTTAAAAATATCAACCAATCAGATTGCCTGTTACAAATGACATTGGTTTCTGATGGTAAAGACGAAATGTCGTATGAACAGACATTTTTTTTGGGGGAAAAGGGTAAGTAAATTCTAAAATTATGCTTCAGGTGTTACGATACATGGTGAAATCGTTTCTTACACTTGTTTAAACAACAAAATACAATGCAGACATCATTGAAAACTTAAATTAATGACGAATTTAATGAATTTAAGATTGGCCACATGTGACTATGCGCTTTTTTGCGCTGAGCCATAAAAAAAAATGGAGACCTTTTTTTTCGGAGAATGTTTTGCTCGAGTTATCGTCAATTACATATTTCCGGTTTCTGTTTCCAAATATCATATTATGAGAAATAGGTATTCAATAGGTTTAAAGAGGTATAATACAACATGTTTGGGGTTGTTTTGTGTAGAAATCAGTACTATTTCTGTTACTGAACAAGATCATCTGCTGGCTAAATGGTATATAACCAAACACAACTCGAAGAGTCAGCATTTCCGATCGATAACAGTATATCACTTCAAGCACTTGTAACTTATATAATGCTTAGCTTATCATATTTGTGTTATTATTTGTTTGAGATGAAGAACAACACAATAAAATGATAATACATTTAATAAATATTTCATAGTTGTCAGAATTTATCTTTACGTTGAATGTTGCACCCAGACTCAGGCTGTTAGAGTAAAATGCAGAGATAATGTGCCCAACCGTAGTAAAAGCAATATAAATTCAATGAATAATTTCTGTTCTGACATTTTATTATACCCCGCTCTAAAGGGGGGTGAGGGGGGGGGGGGGGGGGGTATACTGTTTTACCTTTGCTGTATGTGTGTTTGTCTGTCCGTCCGTTCGTACCTCTGTCTGTCCATTAAAACGACATGTTTTGTCATTCTTTTTTTCTGCAACTTCTCATCACAGGCGCTTGACATATGTCACAAGCCTTCTATAGGTACGCTTTATCGTGGGATACGTTTTTGGACCAAGTCGACATCACCTTCCTGTTTGACGACTGTTTAGTTTTCAACCTTGGCTTTTGACACACAACGTTTGTGGGACCTTGTTTGAAAATTCATAATTATGTGACAGTATTAATTGTATTTGCGATTCTCCTTACAGTTAGATAACACGGATACTGCAGATACAGATAGTGACGTAACGGTTTGGGAAATAAGTGACGAAAGGGATTCTGATATCATAGGCCCATCACCAGGTAAAAGCATATCATTTTTTCCACAAGCTGAAAAAAAATACTTGCTCAGAGCATGTAGATACAGTTCTGAGAATCATAAAGGTGCATTTGCTTTAACATGAGATCTCACATAATTTTGTTGTTCATACCCTTATTTTGAATTCAAAGACAAACTAGTCTTAGCAAATTATTTTTGTTTCCATTGTATATTGTGAAAAATTCATATAAAATGGGGGTGGGGGGTTTGTGTGTGTAGAAACCTTAGAAGAACGATGTATATTTATTTTATTACAGCACAAAAGGTATCTAGGTCACCATTTGTCCCGTCACACGTATTTGCTAAGCGAAGACGGTTAACGGTATGTTGGATGTAGATTTATATTGTACTTTAGAAGCTTGCTTTAGTCCTGTATATTCTGCAATTAATCTTACTGCATTAGTTAGTGTGTTCTCAATCAAATTTAACCACTGTCAACTTGTTGCAGCTGGTTCATGCTGTGCTCAGATAGCCCATTATTTTCAATCAACAAAACTTACTAATTCAATGACACTAGCACTGCACAAATCTGTATTGGCTACTGACCTATTTGATGTCTTGCATGTTGTGCCAAAATGAAAAAAAATACTTGTGTTTAGGTTTTCCCTACCTGCTGTTTTATATGCCTCAAACTCCGACTCTAAGAGTTTTTATTGGCACTTTTTGTAGTAATTTTTGAAAAATTACAGGTGGTCCCATGTACTCAAGGTAAAAAAATTGTGAAATGAAATAAAAATCCTAGCTTAGTAGCTACACGATTTTTCTATAGGAGGAAATCCTTTGAACACACATATGTTTTTTATTTGGCCTTGTGTGGTATGTAGTGACTGAATAGAAAAAGGAGCTTTATTGTAAGAGGCAAACATATACTTCCTCTTAAACTGTTTTCTCTGTGTTGAAGATCTCATTGCAATTTTTTAGATAATAAAAATAATAAAAGCGCTGGTCCTTGTGCTGCAACTTTGGTTATGTGCATGTTTTGATTTTCTGTCAGGGTCATGTTCACCATATCATTCTACCCCATTATAAAAACCTACAGTCACTTTGCATGAATGAACATAAATAATCGCATAACATTGTATATTATTATAGCAAAACAAGTATTGTGTTGCATGTGTAGCTTAATGGGTAAACGGACAACCATATACATACTCATTACTAACTACACTACAGTCAGCAAGAATTTTGCTTTACCTGCTGTCCTTTCTTGTCCACTTTAATTCATTTCTTAAATACAACAAACACGTCATTTTCTAAGAGTTAAAATATTTAGTTTCTTTTTAAATTACAGTATTATCCTTCTAAAATAATTATTTAAATCGTTTGTTCATAATTAATATTTTTTATGAAATTTAATATCTTTGCTCATTTTTGTTCATTTCCACGGTGGGCAAAGGGGAAAACTAAATACCTGCTGACTGTAGTGTGTGACTGCTTCACAGTAGATGCTTAAGGGGAAGACCATTTGTTTCTACGGGGCTGGTTCTTTTGATCAGGTCAGAATATTTATTATACAAAATTCCGAGTCAAAAAGTTTATTTTTAACTGCTAAAGAGAAGGAATATTTATCTTTATTTTACTGTCGTTCTTTAGAATTTTGAGGCCAGGCTATTTGTCTTATTTTAAAGGAGGTTGAGGGCAGTATATTTATATACAAAATCTGCCTACAGCCCCCTCACAATACAATGGTCGTCCCTTTTATTCACTTGCACTAGCTTTAAAACTGGCACAATTTCTGTATATCAGTTTGATATATCCAGCTGCACTCAAACTGACATTCACATACCCTATACTAACAATGAAAAGAACTTTGCACATATAACATATGTGATTCATTTATTACTGAAAACACTCTGCGTGATGATGATACCCCCGTAATTGTTGATAGTGAAGTTCAGACAATTCAAACGGGAAATTTTCTTGAGGATAAAGAAACCCAGCCTGAAATTATCAGATCAACAAATTTTGTTTGCATCCATTTTTACAGAAAACTTTGAAAATGAAGGTTTAACTCAATCTTGCCAAACATTAGTCACTGGTGATAACTTTGAGTTTGAAACATTATAAAAGTAAAATGGCTACAAGCAATATAGAAATTTAGAATTTTATGGTGTTAAATGTAGAAAAAAAGGCCATTGAATATATTCAAAACAAATGTAACCAAAA